ACATATAAGGACTAAACACAAACTTTTAAGAAAAAACAAAGATTCAAAAATAAAATCTAATGCATCTGCATGAGGTCCAATCACGGACACATACAAGGAATGGAGAGACTCAAAATAAAATCAAAATAGCACAAGCAAATAGTTCCTAACAAATTGATTGTGGAAGAAAATTAATAACAATCAACAATGGATCTATGAACACAAGAACATCAACAATATCGATCCGAAAATTGAAACTCAAGTTAAGACAAACACAAGAACACAAGAACACAAACACGGACACACAAAAGTTGAGACAACTTATCTCCTTGAGACCAAGATGATGAACACCTTAGAATGAAGAACACTTTCTGAAGATAAGGTAAAGACCTTAGAAGGAAGCATCCAAGCTCAAGCACTCAAGGGATTGCACACTTCAAAGGGAAGGAAACTAGGTTTTCCTAAGGAATTGAAGGCACTCTCTAAGGCTCTCTCTTAGACTTCGGTGACTCTTGAATGATAGCTGAAATCAATTCAGAATTCTCATATATCAAAAGTGTCTTAACATGGTAGGAAAAGATACACTTATAGGAGGGAAATTAGGTTAAACTTGGCGGCAACTCAAGTAAGCCTAGTTGGCGCCAAGTTTGAATTTCAAATTTGAATTTGAAATTCAAACTTTGGCCAACTCACATGCTCATACCGGTTGCTACCATCATTTAGGTGTCATTTAGGAGTGATTTGAAGTGAATTTGAAGCTCACATGGCTGGAACCACTCCATGCCATCCATGTGACTCAAATTCAATTCAAATTACTTCTAAATGATGCATAAATGAAGCCTAATTATCCTATTAATGTATTCCTCATATAAACCTAATCTATTGACCGCAATGGAAAGGAAAAATTACAAGAATGAAAATGAGCCCAATATTGGGTACCAAAAGCCCAAAGGCCCATGAAGCCCAAAACTAGGCCCAACAAGCCTAAAACCTAAAATGCTACTCTATGAGGTCCAAAATACAAGACTAAAATATATGATACCTATACTAACATGATGTATACAAAACATATGAAAATAGCTATAACAAAATATGGCCCATGAAAAGTTCAACTTGGGCCTTCCCAGGCCCTATCAGGCCTATTGGGCCCTGACTGGCCCAAACCTTCATGTCTAGCCAACTCCTCTTGGATCTTTGAGTGTGTCACCTCTTGCATTCCCAAGTATGATTCCATCACGTTCGGGTGCAATTGGGTCGGCGCAACGTTCAACACCCGAAGTACCCCCATTTGGAAGTCATCCAACGGAAGAGACACCCCGAGTTCCCGGAAAAAACACTCGTACATATAAAAATAGTCCTCCTGACCCTCTTGCTTCGCAAGAAACACCAGGTCCAGCCCCCCAGGGCCTTCGGCCCGACACCGACGCAACTTCACCGGATAGGGGTCCACGTCCTCCCACCGAGCCAACGCACAAGCGCTGACAAGGCGCTCCACGGAACACCTCTCATGAAAACGCGAGAAATATGCCTCGACCTCCCCGTCGACCCACTCATACCCCGGAACTTCACACGGTGGGAATTTCTGCCTATAAGCCCGAGGACTCATCTCGGCATCTGGAATATCCGACCCAGATGAAGAACTCGCCGATTCACCACTACCGATAGCCTCCAGCCGAGGAGAACCCCCCAAGATCTCGACTTCGGCATTGAAAGCCAAGATCTCGGCATCGGCATTATGAGCTGGGACCCCAGCACTAGACGAAGACCCTGAAGATAAATTAATAGTTTCGGCTGCCATGAAAAGAAGAGCTGAAACCTACCTTTACAGTGAGCACTCGGTTTGCAAAACGGTGAGGGTGTCGGGTCAGAGTACTCAGTACGAAGGAAGCACAAATTTAAGCTTCAGCCTTGCCCCCTATATATAGGAAAACCACGGGCATCCCAAAAGCCCCTCATTAATGCTCTTGGGGAACGAAAAGACGCCTTGGTAGGGCTCGAAACCCTAGGGCGAGCACGCAAGCAACGGTCACAATCACCAAGGGGCACACCCCCCGAGACGTGTACGGAAACCCTAGAACTCACCAATGCCACACTCAAACCCCTTCGTCTTTCATCCTTGGGCTTGGGGGGGGGGGCAGTGTACCAGTAAACACCCCCTCGGTCAGAAACTAGGCCGAGAGGGACACCAAAACGAACGACAATTTCCACACGATACCCCCTCGGCTTTGAACCTGGCCGAAAACGTCCCCGGGCTTAGGAATAACCGAATACTCCTCTAACACGAAGAAAGAACCCCGACAAGACAAGTGCCTAGGAAGGACACTCAGGTTACCTCTCGGCATTGAGCCTGGCCGAACACCCCTTCGGACCCAAGCTAAGCCGAATACCCCTTCGACCCCAAGATAGGCCGAATACCCCGTCATAAACCTAGCCTAGACGAACACCCTTTCGGCCTCAAGCTCGTCCGAATACCCCTTCGGCCTCAGACTTGACCGAGTACCCCCTTTGGCCTCGAGCTTGGCTGAATACCCAAGAGAAGGATAAGTCTGGGGATACATGGCAGGTTAACATGTCCATTACACAGGAATTATTCCACCTGATTAAGAGAGATTAAGGTTAATCAAGGTATTACCCATTCCCCCAGACAGAAGGCCCACCAGGCCCAAACATGTCACTATAAATACGCAGGTGATGGGACATAAATGAGGTATGATTTATTCCATATAAAAACATATACTGCTCTATACCGAATACTTACTTGATCGTCGGAGTGCCTTTGCAGGTAGCCTCCCCACCCATCGGAGACAGTATTCGGTCGGCTCCGAGGACTTGAAGATCATCAGGAAGAGTGTTTCTACGCAGGAACACAGTACCTTGAAAAAGACTCATCAATTCCTTGCGAAGCTGATAAATTCGAGGGCCATTCTTCTATTGGAAGCGATCTTTCAGGTCTTGCCAAATCTCAGAAGCTGAAAAAGAATACAACAAGCTAGTAACGATATCCTTAGAAATAGAGTTATATACAACCACGAGATAACAATGTTGTTACACTGAAGCCAAGCGCTTAGTTGAGGATCACCATTTGGTGGGCGAGGAATGGAACCATCAACGAACCCAAGTTTACTCTATACGGAGAGAGCAACGATCATGGCACGATTCCAGGTATTGTAATTGGAATCAGTTAGAGGTTGAGAAACCAAAGCAATGTCAGGACCATCAGAATGATGGAGGAAAAAAGGATTAGAGAGATCTTCCATGGCGGAAACAAGGAAGAAGGAAAAAGAAATGAATTAGAGTGTATTCACTGATACCATATTAGACTTGAGAAAGTATGGAGAAGAAAAAATCAACTTGAGAAGAATGATTCTCAATCTGTGTACCAAGAAGTCAGAAACTGGTATTTATACATGAAAGGAGTAACTCATAAAGCTGAAATTAACTATAGGACATTATAGTCTAATAAAATAGATCCTGAAGGCAATCATTAAAAATAGCTAAATTTTCTTGAAACCGATCTCCCTTTCTAGCTATACCATCTGCCACATGTAGGTATGTATTTTGTCCACCAAATGAACAAGAAGATGAGTTATATATGGCTATCCCGTTTGTGATTAAATCCAAAGTAGAATTGGAATCTGATTCACAAACCAAGTTCCATATTCCCCTTGATCAAGCAATGCAAAGACCATTATATATTCCTTGCATCTCAGCATTCATATTAGTAGTTACTCCACAATATACAGACTATATATTTGAATAAGAACAGTGTGGGTATTCTAAGCAAGGTCTTGAAAATCGATCTGCAAAACAAGTGAATATAGCCTCCCATCACCGCCTGTTCATTAAGAGCAATAAGAAATGTTTGAGCCACACCTTTAAGCAGTTTTGACGTGATAGTTTGTTGAAGATCTCACATCTACAAATAGATATATTAAGTAAAAAAAAAAAATATTTTATAAATTAATTTTATAAAATTAAATTAGACTAAAAATTGTAAAGGAATCAATTCAAATTTTATCTTGTATACTTTTTGTACTCCAGATGTTTATTCCTCGTTGTGAAGGAAAGGTTTCGTAAAGTTATATTAGACTCTAATAATCCATTTTCTTTAAATACGCCCCATCCTTTGCAATGCCTCTATCATTCATGAAAAATATCCTTTAAGAATAATTGAGTATCTCGTACACATAGTTCAAATGGTTATTAATATTACTTCTATTGAACCAACGATCTACGAAATGGATATATTTCCTTTTTTTTCGTAGCTTATTTATTTTTAATAAAATAAGAAAAAAAAAGTTTTGGACGTGTTTGTACAAACTATTTATTTAGTATTTTTTTTAACTTTTTTTAAAAATGTAATTCCTATCTCTTAAAAATATTTTTAATTTTTTTAAAAATTTTAAACAAACATACCCATGTTGCTTCTTAAATTAACAGCTATTTTTTTTAAAGTGCACTTTTATTATAACCGTTTTTTTTTAATTTAAACAGAATAGCTCAATATCGATTATTACACAATTAAGCTCATTCTCGAAAATTTCAATTGATATTATGCCTTAATAATATTGTCTCGGTGTTGAAATAACTGGGTAGAAAATTCACCAAAAAATTAAAAAATAAAAATAAAAATAACTGGTAAACGTTAATTAATTCAGGATATAAGTTACTCTGGGTGGTCGAATCAAGTTTTCCCAATGTTCTCCTACGTAGTACTTTCATGATGTCTCATTTTGTTACAACAAAGACGTTTTAACATTTTTTTTTTTTTTTGACAGAAGATTCCCTTGCCACTACTAGTCTACTAGCTCGTCATTTTTATATGAACACACAGCAGCAAAAAACTCTAGTGTGACCATTGCTGGACTAGCCTTGTGCAACGGTTTCTCTTTTCATTTTTCCTGTGTCATATCATCAAACAACATATAAGAGAATTAGGGTTTGGTTTAACCTTTTTGTAGCAATTAAGTGAATTAGGTAGTTTCTATTTCCTACACTTCTTTACTTATGATTTTTGTAGCAATTAAATGAATTAGGTAGTTTCTATTTCCTACACTTCTTTACTTATGACATATTTAGATAAACTTCTCTAAAAATATATTTAAAAAATAATAAAATTTAAAATAAATTTTTTAGTTAAATGAATTTATGTATAAAATAAAATAAATTTTTTTGAATAAGTTAATAAGAAAAAAGTTTTGCAAATTAATTTATGTATAAAGTAATGTAAAACCTTTTTTTTTCTTTTTGGGTAAGGTGTTAGAAAAAGATTATGCAAACATACTCTTTAATAAGATAATTAAGAAAGGAAGGAAGAATCATACCCTATATTTGAAAGCTTTTGCTTTGGTTTCTTTATCCGTTTGATTCAAACTAGATTTTCTAGCATTCACTACTTTCTCCACCATCTTACTTCCCTTAAAAGGTGCTCTACCTTCATTAGCACCCGCTGCTAGAGTGAATGTTTCTTTTTGTGCCCTCAAATTTTTCTGAGTCCTTTCTAACTGGTTCCAACCACCACTAGCCATGCTTGGTGATGGTGACCTTGATGCCCTACATGCTTTTGGAGTAGGATCCCTATTTTGAAACCCTAAAACTGTAGAAGATCGAATTGTGCTTCGTCCTCGAGTGGTAGAACTTGACCTCTGATCCGTCCTTAGATTTGGTGGTGCCTCATTTGAGAGTTCTACCATGCTACTTACAAGCACAACCCTTGACCTAATAGATGGAGAAACCCCTCTAGCTCTTGCCTTTTTTTGTGACTCGTTTGTTTCTGTGCTTTTCTTGATGTTCAAAGCAAGGAAATCAGCATTGTTGGGTTGCTTTTGGGGAGTGGATTTTGTGTTGGTGCCTGCATCATGTTCAATTTTGGTTGCATCATGTTTAGTGATCTTGTTGGTAATGGTAGGGGGAGTTCTTTTTTGTTGTTCATTTGTGTTCTTGATTATGCTTGGTCTTTGCCTTGTGTGACTTGGGGTCATTGACCTTGTTGAAAGCCTTGGTTTGGTTGAGTTTGCATAGTTTGTTTTGACATCAATTGGTTTGGGCTTTGGTACTTCCACATCACTCCGTGCAAACTGTGTGGCAAAACCAACCTTTGTGACATCAATTTGAACTCTAGAAGAACACACAACACAAACTAGAATAGATGAACAAAAAAGTACACAAATAGTAGTTCAAGAAAATAATAAATATTAGTAAGATTTTGATATAAATATTTGGCATAATACTTATGCCATAAATTCTTAGTTTATATTTTTTTTTTTAAATCATGTGTATATTTCACCAGAAACAATCCTATTGATCAAGTTTAAATATGATAGTTAGAAACATTAAGTGTCACTAAGTTTTTTCTTCAAAATATTTAACACAACTGTATTCAAGACAATTAAGTTAAAACAATATGTGTGGATTGAATTGCTTGTTCGGTGGAAATTCTTAGGGGAATATACAAAGTGAAGGAAGAATGATCACATAATGAAAGGTATAATGAAGCAGAACAAAAAAGAGATTTGCATGTTATGTGTATAAATCAAGTAGTTTCTGTGCTGATTATTTGGAAATTAACATAAAAGTTCAGTTACGTACTCTTGAGATGGGCTGAGAAATTGGTATCTCCTTTTGAACGACAAGTTGAGGACCAGGTTCCATTTCAAGGGATGGAAACAGAGGAGTAGCAGGTGGTGTTTTCAACCTTTTTGGCACATGCACTGACTAAGTTATTATCTTTATATGAGAAATCAAATAATCATTCACAAAAACTTACCAATCATAGTCATTTTTGTTTGTTTCCAGAAACTCAAGTCCATTTTCTTTCTTCCCTGACTGAATTCTATAAAGTGAAAAATTTCCTGAAATAATATATTTTCTTCCTTTCGTTAGTACTAAGCACTGACCCTGAGCCAAATTGTAGAGAAAAATGAATTTGATAACTGTAAGGAAAATTAGAAATTAAAAAAAAAAAAAAGAGCCATTTATGTATATGGAACAAAATATTATTAATTTCCAGAGAATCATGTACTTTGAACAGATATTAAATTAAAATGAAAAAAATAATTATATATAAGAGAATATATTTAAGTTGAAAAAGATATATAATACATAATCAGACCAAAAGAAAATTTAAATATAAATTTTGATAAAAAGGTTAAAAATACTACATATATTTTCTAAAAGAAAACACAATAAAAAAAATGTTTACTTTTAACTAAGAATATTCAAGTTTAATAAAAACAAGCTATTTTTTCAGAGAACTTTTTCCTCCTCATATTCTTCATTCATACCAAACAATGTTCTACTAATCTTGTGTTATACGATCATATCAGTATGTGCATAGTTTTTTCTTCTCTTAAACAGAAAAAAAAAAAAAAAAAAAAAAAAAAAAAAAACTAGAAATCTAAGAAAAAGGCAGAATTTATGAATTGTGATTGATGAGTAGCTACCAGTATCAGTGTGGGTGTTAGTGGTGCATTCAAACTCTTCAGAATTAACACAATGCAAAAGGCTAGAAATGCGTTCATTCTGGCGCTTCCGCAATTCCCTGAAAAGGGTTAGGTCCTCGTCTCGCTCCATGCGCCCTTTCATGTTGCTCAGCCTCAACTAATGCAATTCGATCTCTAATCATAACAATTAATAACCAATCATTCTATTTCTACCCTTCTAATATTCCTCTACAATTCCCTCACACTACCTTGCTCCAATTTCTAGATTCTATTTCTTGTGCTCCACCGATGCTTAGTGTTGGAAACGACAAAAGGAATTTCATAATTTTATAATTTCTCACAAGAGGAATTTGTGCCATGTGGAGCTATAGCCGGCTACCTATTTGACTATTTCGTTTTATTGCTCTAGTATATGTAGATGATGGAACACATTACATTATGTTACATGACCTTGATAACAAAGATATTAATTTATGTATACCCGATTCTTTTGTGAATTAATAATTTATGGGTTCGAATCTTTGATGATAAAAATATTTAGAAGCGTATCTTTAATATTGTGTATATATAATTAGATGGAAGATAAACACTAGTGTACAAATTAATTTTAAAATTGAGATTTTAAGATCGATTAAAAGAGAACTAATTTTAAAAGTGATTCAGTGACAATTTAATAAATAATGTGACTATTTTAAGATTGATTAAATTATAATTGATCTTAAAAGTACTTTCAAGATTGATTATTCTATGATCGATCTTAAAAGGTATGTTTGATACAATTTTTAAGAACATGTGTATAAAAGAACTGATCTTAAAAGTGGTATATAAGATTGGTTCTTTTATATATCCAATCTTAAAAGTTGTATTAGACATATCTTTTAAGATCAGTTATAAAAGAATTGATCATCAAAGTACTTTTAAGATATGTTAAAATTTAATCAAGTCCCATAAGTATGAATGAAATGCACTCCCCCTTGTATCTGCTCGTGCCTTCTTGTTTGTTGTCTCTCTTGATCTCCCTCACTCCCCTTTATCTCATCTCATCCAAATCCCAAACCCATGCAATAAAATAAAAAAACCTAATTCCGCTTGGTTTCATTCCCGAAGAAGATGGCTTGAAATGAGGAGAAGGCACAATCAATGGTTCATTAGTATGAAGGCAGAGGAGAAGAAGAAGTCAACCAATGCCACTAACAAATCATGTGCGAGATAGGGTGCAAAGTAGTAGAGACCTAAAATGAGGGCCTCAAGGAGTACCAACTTCGTGACATCAATGACGAGATCAACAAACTCCTTCGTGAGAAGTCCCACTAGGAGTGTCAGATCCTCAACCTTGATGTCCCCAACCCCAATGGTCGCAACCACGACTACTATTACTTCGGCATTGCAAAATAAAAAAACTCTTTGACACTTGTAAGCTCTTCGAGAAGCCATGTCATCACACACGTTACGATATTTAAAAGTTGACTTTTAAAATCGATTATTTGATAATCGATCCTAAAAGTTCACCTTTTAAGATCATCTCTTTTAATGTCCATTCTATAACTGATTTTAAAAATTAAAAATAATTGATCTTAAAAGTCTTTTTCTACCAGTGAAAATTCCCAACAATAAAATAAAATACAGCTTTTTGTTGATCATTAAAAAAAAGAAAAACTTTTCCTTAAGTTTAGTCAAACCTATAAATAAATTTATTAGTGATTTTTTCATAATTTAAAATCAATTAAACACAAAACAACGTGGTGGATATATATCAAGATAAATGACAAAAATAAAATTATTGAAAACGGTTTCTAATTAAAATTGTAAATTATAATTATGTTTGATAAATCTTGAGTTGTTCTTAATTTAATTTAATTATGACTACGGATTAACAGTAGACACTAGTACATAATGTGTATTTTACGTCTGTTATTTTAAGATTTTTATGTCGAAAAAAATTTCAACATCGATGTTGGAGACGTAAATTTACGTCGGTTGTAATGGCCAACGTAAATTTACGTCAGGCATTGCCAAGAACCGACATAAAATTGTGATGGCACAAATTTAATGCATCTGGAACGGCCTGTTCTGTAACTAGAACGACTCGTTTTGCTTGTAGTCATTGTGTGTTAATTGTCCATCTGGAATGGGCCGTTCTAAGGTGTGTGTGGGGTTGGAACTTTTTAGCTTTGGCATAAAGAAGCCCTGGTGAGATCTTATACAAGTCTTCATCAACGGGTTTTGAAGTTGGCCTTGGCAGTGAAATTCACATCACTGATCCAATTCTTCAACTTTGTTTCTTTTTCATGTTGGTCAAGCACCTTTGCCTGCAATGTGTGCGTATATACAAACCTTTTTTACGTCGGATATAATAGAGGTTTGACGTAAAATGTAAAATCTACATTGGACACAAGATACATCCGACTTAGATTTTAAAATTTACGTCGAACCTCTATTAAGTCCGACGTAAAAGAGTTCACAAAAATTACAAAAATGTCACCGCATCTTTTTTACGTCGATTTTTGGTATGTCCGACGACAAAGAGGTGACGTAAAAGATAGATTTTCCACTAATGAGAATAATTTAAAACAGAAAAATTAAAAGTAATGATGCAAAGATTAATTAAGAAACATAATATTAAATTTAACTAAAAGGTATGTGACGAACTTACGAAAGAAACACTTTATAGAACTTGAAAAACAAAAGGATACACTACAAAAAAAAATAGGTAATTATTGGCAGTTTTTTTCTGGCGGTTTCCATAAACCGCCAAAATATGTTACATTTGTGGAAAGGATGACAAATGCTACAAATTATCGACTCTTTCTGGCGGTTTTAAACCGCAGGAATGATAATCATTACAGTGTTGACACTTTCTGGCGGTTTAAACCCGCCAGAAGGTTCAATAATTTTTTATTTAATTAATCATACATGCCTTAGTTCTTTTATGAAATTAAAAAAAAACTTATAAAATCAATTTAAAAGAAATTAAAAAAAAAATTTCTAGTTCACGAAAAGCCTCACGAACCCGCCATCCCCAGCTTCCACGCGTCCATGTGCTTCAGCACCTCGAACACAAGGTTTGTTCATCCTCTCTTCCCTTCTTCATCTCACCCTCACCTTTACAATTTTAGTTCATAATTATCAACCTAAACGACCGCAATATTACTGTTCAAGCTCCTTCGTTTGGTCTTTCGTCTCTATTATTACTGTTCGTGAGGAGCTTCTCTTTTCTACTCGATTAATCCATTCATGGTGAGTTTTCAATCATCCAAGTGCATTAAATCTGTTCTATTTTCTTCGACTCATACTCACAATTTGCCATTCTCTAATGAGAATCAAAACCTAGGTTACGAAACCTGCACGCAGGAAATGTATGCATTCAATTGATCTTAGATTAGGATTTCATATACAATTTGTTTCTGTCTAAGTCAATTTGTTTCTGTCTAAGCTATCATTTCCTATTCTCCTGAATTTTGCAGATGGTTGTGTTGTCCCTGTAGCTTCGAATTGGACAGCGAAATTTGCTAGGAGAGTTTCAATTTCAAATCCTGTCGGGGATTCATTTGGTATTGCACTCGCGTTTCTCTTTCTCTATTTTCATCGGAAATTATGGTTTTACATTTCTAGAGGGGTGGTTTTTATGCATAAGTCAATTATGGGTTCCTAACTGATAAATAGAAGAAATGAATTGAATAGATAGATAAGAGTTTCTGCTCAAACTATGAAACTATGACCACAATGTTCAAGCCCATGAGCCAGTTCAACAAGTTGAGCATGAGGGAGCCTGGTTTGGCTTCCAAAACTTACATAAAGTACTGATCCCCTTGAATGCTCAGACTTCTGATCATTTTCAATTGTACGCTGTTAGTGGGATGTAGTCTGCATGCGACCAACAGGCTCACTTGCAACATTTCCAAAACTAGCTGGGCCAATATTATATTGTATAATGGATGGATTTGGTGGAATTTCTTGGGGATGAATTGGATGGATGGTAGATTAATGGATTGCTTGCCACCCCTACCCCTGCCACACATTGACTATAAGGTTTTAGTATAGGTGAGAAATTGGAAGAAAGAGATAGAGAATAAGAAAGTTTAGAGTCTCAGATAAATTTTGTATTCAATACAATTACAATCTGATTTCAACTGGAGTATATATAGACAGAACTGATGACTGTTATGAGAAACTAACTATATGACAGAGACAACAGTTTATATCTAACTCAACAGCTGGCATCAGCTGGAGCACTAACAGTTGAGTTGAGATATACTACAACAGAGAGCTAACAAAAAGCTTAGCTAAAATGTTCAACTAACTGTTGAAGAGCTCAATCACTTCTATTAATTATCTAGACTTCATGTTGAAATATACTATTCCATATATATTTTCTGCTTAGTTTTTTGTTGTGTATTGACTGCATGATGTATCTTAATCATATGATCTCCCTACTGATGAAGATTTAGTAATTTGTTCTTGTATGTGAATTTTGATTAACAGTTTGAAAAAGCAACCGACCCTGAGCTTCCTATAGTGTTAGTTCTTCGTCTGGTCTTAACTACCCTTTACGTCTGGTAGTGATGACTTCGTCTGCTTGTTTGTTAGGCTTTATCTGATGATTTTGCAAATCCATGTTGTTGTTTAGCCAACTTTCGTCCCGTTCTTGACTTAGTCTCATATGTTGCCTATTTTGGTCTTACATCTGATCCCTTAGACTTCTGCTGATAGATTCGTCTTATCTTGTTTTTTACTTAGGTCTGGATCAACCCTAGTCTTGATACTAGCTTTGCTATCGTCTGATGTCTTGTTCAATTTGATTATGCTTGATCATACTTTGTCCTTCATACGATCATTTCTACCAACCATAATATCTAAGAAAATAGTACACACAATTACATAAACAATAAACATAATCAATCATCACACTAGCATATCATTAAGTTCCACAATAAATTCATTCCATCATCTACCAACAAGCATAGTAGACTCATAACTCACAGCCGATTGGATCAACCAGGCTCTGATACCACTAAATGTGACACCCTCTACCCCACATACATAATACACAATAAATATAAATATAAAGTACATTCTTGAGTAAATAAAACTTTCTTTAAAAAGTAAGGTTTCAGAACACATAGATAAAGAGTTCACATTCATATTTCGCAAATCATAGTCCAATGCAAAAATAATGACAAAATAAAACATCAATCTTTCCAAAAC